CTCCAGCATTTAACTGTGAATAAATCTTTTGGTAGCGTAGCCCGACGTCAAGGAAATGGACGGAAGAAACATCAGCAGAAATGTTTCGAAAACTTAAGAAGCGAAACCCGCGTCGCAGCAACCAAAAATGGCTCGTGAGCACATATCGAACATATCGCAATATTCCATTGGGCAAATATTGAAAAATGAGATCGGGGTAAAGGCACTGAAATTCCAAAAAGTGCAGAACTTACACCGCAACAGAAAGAAAATAGACTCAAAAGAGTTAAAGAGTTGCTTCGCTTGGCCGAAAGTGTTGAACTGACGAAATCGGTTTTCTTCGATGAGAAAACATTTGTTGTCCAACAGTTTAAAAAAATAGAATGATCGTGTTTACTTGCCAAAGAGGTCAGATGAAAATGTGCACCTTCGGTTGGCCACCAGAACTCAAGCGCCGGCCATGGTGATGGTGTGGGCGGCCATAACAGCCGATGGTCGCTCTCCGCTCGTATTAATCGACCGTGGCATCACAATAAATGCCGAATATTATCGCAAAAATATTCTGGAGAATGTATTAAAGCATTGGACACGCAAACATTTTTAGCCGCAGACCTTAGACATTCAAACAGGACTCCATCAACAGCACCATCGCACTCAGCACGGCCACCCAAGAATGGTTACAAAATGAGGTTCCTCGCTTCATTTCCAGCGCACAATGGCCACGAAAATCTCCGTGTACCAATCCGTTAGACTATTGTGTCTGGAGCATTTTGGAAAGCAAGGTTAGCACTAAAAAATACCAAAGTGTTGATCATCTCAAGCAAGCTCTTCGCCGGGAATGGGCCAAATTACCGCAGAGCAACATTCGGGTAGCGTGTGAGGCCTTCATTGGTCGTTTGAAGGTCACAATTCATGCCGCAGATGACCAATTCGAACAAATCTAAACGTATTATAAAATTTGATGCTATTTCCGAGATTTTTTGCTTTCATTCAATAAATTTAAAAAAAAAATGACTTTGTTGCAGTTTTACATCTCAACCTGTATAACTTCAGGGTTTTTTGTTAAAAAATCTTTGTCACATTTTTTGAAAACGTATTTAAGGGCTATCTTTTCAAAAATTGCAAAATTTATTGAGAGCTTCGTGACCACAACATCAATAATTTTATTGGCCAAGAAAATGGCATTTTTTGAAAAGGAGTTAGGAGTGGTCAGCAATCGTGGCGGCTTGTGAAAAAACCGTGAAAATTTTAAATGAATAATTTTTATATTTTAAGTAGGCTTTTCTGGACAAAAATCATTTTAAAGCATTACCTGATAAATTATATATATTTTTAAGTTTTTTTACGAATTTGTAGGTTGTAGGATAATTTAATTTTCTTTCAAGGATCTCCTAATAAAATATTCAGTATATAAAACAAAAAAAGATGCCGGGACGAACATTGAATACCCTCCACCATTTGGAACGATTTTGGCAATTTTCAAAAAAATAAAATCCGTTAAAAATTCTGTTAAAATTTTAAAAATACCGAATGTTGCCTTTATATTAGGTTCTATACTACGACCTGCATAGAAAACTTTTGTCATAAGCCATTACAATATTCAAATGCGAGACTTGAATAATATAGCTAAAATCATCCAAATACTAAATATAGGGAGGTACCGTTATGTGGTGGTTATACGAAGACGTGTACCTGCACGACACTTTTCTGTCTTAGGCTGTAGTATCCATTACGAACTTCAAATACCAAATTTGAAACAATTTCGGTGAATATCGGGAGTAATTTCTACAGACGGACAGACGGACGGTCATCGCTACATCGATATAGAATTTTATGCAGATCAAGAATAAATATACTTTGTGGGGTCTTTCGGGGTATATTTCGAGGTATTGAAAACGGGATGACTAACTTAATATACCCTCCATACTATGGTGGAGGATATAAAAATCCAAAACCTTAATATGGACAAAAGCCTTTTTCAGCAGGAACCACAAAAAAGTATTTACCTGGGTCAGAACAGCTATTTTGTTCTTGCGTCTAAATGTGAGCTACACTTGAATTTTTTTTGTAGAACCAAATTACATTCAATTCGGTTAAAAATCTCCACTTAAGCTTTCAAAATATCAAAAAATAAATATGTGGTACTATATTGAGGGAAACGCACAAAATATGAGCTTTTCCAAAAAAACTGTCTAAATATAGTTCATGTCTAAATACTGTTCATTTGTCGGTCATAAGAAATTATACAAAATGGCTGGGGTTTTTTGAAATTTTGCCATAAATAAAAAGGACCCATTGTAAACGCGACATCTTAAACTGCAGCTGATTCAAATGAAACCCAGAAAAGGAAGGTAAAAATTCGGAAAGGGCCGACTTTATGATACCCTTTAGGGCAGTTATAATTTGAAACGGAAAGGAACGATTATACCTTAGGCATATCACACTCTGAATCGATTTTCGCTAAATTTGGCGGAAGCATTTGTGATTTTCTCTAATATACATCCCATTGGTGCTGATAATACCCTTTTGGAACCTATATTCAAATTTGAAGCGATGTCTATAAAATTTAGCTGTCTAGCACCAAATAACGTTATTTTGAAGTGCATTTAATGTGTGTGACCCATAAAATGTCACAGCTCATTACATTGTTTACACGCGTTCAAAAGCATTTCGGTGAGAATTTTCCAGAAAAAATTTTATTTGTTGTATTTTTGGCTGGAAACCCACAAGTGGCTATCGTTAGAGCACTCCAGCATTCAAATGTGAATAAATCTTTTGTGTCTCGTACCATCGCTCTTTACCGTGATACTGGTAGCGTAGCCCGACGTCAAGGAATTCGGAAGTGGACGGAAGGAAACAGCAACATCAGCAGAAATGGTTTGAAAAGTAAAGAAGCGACTTGATCGAAACCAGCGTCGCGGTGGCCGAAAAATGGCTCCTGAGCTGAACATATCGCAATATTCCATTCGGCAAATATTGAAAAATGAGTTCAGGGTAAAGCCATTGAAATTTTAAAAAGTGCAAGAACTTACACCGCAGCAGAAAGCAAATAGACTCGAAAGAGCTATTCTTTAGCTTGGCCGCTAAAGTGGTGTACTGCCGAATTTGTTTTCTCCGATGAGAAAACATTCGTTGTCCAGCAGTTTGTAAACAAACAAAATGGCCGTGCTTACTTGCCAAAGAGTTCAACTGAAAATGTGCCGCAGACCTTGTACATTCAAACAGGACTCCATCAACAGCTCCATCGCACTCAGCACGCGACACCCAAGAATGGTTACTAAATGAAGTTCCTCGCTTCATTTCCAGCGCACAATGGGGACCAAAATCTCCAGATACCAATCCGTTGGACTATTGTGTCTGGAGTATTTTGGGAAGCAAGGTTGGCACTAAAAAATACCAAAATGTCGATCACCTCAAGTAAGCGCTTCGCCGGGAATGGGCCAAAATACCGCGGAGCAACATTTGGGCAGCGTGTGACGGTTCCATTGGCCGTTTGAAGGCCATCATTTGTGCCAAAGGTGACCAATGCGAACAAATCTAAACTTACTCTAAAATTTGATGCTATTTTCGACATTTTTGCTTTCATTCAATTAATAAAAAAAAATGTAAAAATTATGGCGTTTGACTTTGTTGCAGTTTTTCATCTTACCCTGTATAACTCCAGGGTTTCTTGTTAAAAAATCTTTGTCACATTTTTTGAAAACGTATTTAAGGGCTATCTTTGCAAAAAATTGCAAAATTTATTGAGAGCTTCGTGACCACAACATCAATAATTTTAATGGCCAAGAATATGGCATTTTTTGAAAATATTTTCTTAGGAGTTAGGAGTGGTCAGCAATCGTGGCGGCTTGCGAAAAAACCGTGAAAATTTTAAATAAATAATTTTTATATTTAAGTAGGCTTTTATGGACAAAAATCATTTTAAAGCATTACCTGATAAATTATATATATTTTTAAGTTTTTTTACGAATTTGTAGGTTGTAGGATAATTTAATTTTCTTTCAAGGATCTCCTAATAAAATATTCAGTATATAAAACAAAAAAAAAGATGCCGGGACGAACATTGAATACCCTCCACCATTTGGAACGATTTTGGCAATTTTCAAAAAAATAAAATTCGTTAAAAATTCTGTTAAAATCTTAAAAATACCGAATGTTGCCTTTATATTAGGTTCTATACTACGACCTGCATAGAAACTTTTGTCATAAGCCATTACAATATTCAAATGCGAGACTTGAATAATATAGCTAAAATCATCAAAATACAGAATATAGAGAGGTACCGTTATATAGGGGCTATACGAAGGCGTGGGCCTGCACAGACACTTTTCTGTCTTAGGCTGTAGTATCAATTATGAACTTCAAATACGACATATCAAACAATTTCTGTTAGTTTTGTACCTAAAATCGTCAAAACACCAAATATAGGGAGGGGCCTATACGAAGACCTGGATCTGCATAGACAATTTTCTGTCTTAGGCTGTAGTATCCATTACGATCTTCAAATGCCAAATTTGAAACAATTTCGGTGAATATCGGGAGTAATTTCTACAGACGGACAGACGGACGGTCATCGCTACATCGATATAGAATTTTATGCAGATCAAGAATAAATATACTTTGTGGGGTTTTTCGGGGTATATTTCGAGGTGTTTCAAACGGAATGACAAACTTTATATACCCTCCATACTATGGTGGAGGGTATAAAAATCTGGAGTCTGATAGCTTATAAAAATTTACCGGCTAAAATATGGTAATGAAATAATTACTAATCTGAAAATTGACATCATCCTTAAAATGAGTTTACAACCTAAATAATTTCTAAGCAAATTTCCTCTTTCATTTATCCCATTATCCCACCCAGAAAACTCAAAACCTACTGCAAACCACTCTAAATCAGATTTGATTTCAGGTATTTTCGTCACGCTAAATGCTTGTTTTGTTCTCTCGTCACACAATTTCTTTTGCCAATTGCCAACATCGTCGACTTGGCAAATAAACCTCGGCCATTGAAAACTTACCTCATTTCGTGTTGGTTTCGAACTGCTCAGGGCGTAGCAGCAAAAAGCAACGACCACAAAAGTTAAACAACTTAAACCGGTCATTATTACTTTTCTCTTTTTTGTTGTTGTTGAAACAACTGCACCAGTACCAGCAACGGTTAAGGTCCTTTGCAGCAAAAAAGAACGAAAACTTTTTTTTTTTTTTTGTTTTTAAGTTCTGCTTGTTTTGGTCTGTGAAGATGTCCTCTTGATTTGCACTCGAAAAGAAAACAAAAAGAAAGCAAACGGCTGCTTTCTCTTGACCACTACCACCGCAACAACAACAACAACAACAGCAGCAGAACTAGACTAACAGCAGATATAGGCTATTAAAAAGCTCTGTTGTTTGTGTTTGTCTGTCCGTCTGTGTGACAGTGCTTCAAGTTGCTGATGGGGTACTACACTTTGTGTTTCTTTCTTATGCTTTTTTTTTTTTGTGGAATTCCAAGTGTTTCGTTTTCAGTTATTCTTTGGCTCAAGAATTTTGCTTGTTATTTATTCGAACTTTTTACAAAAATTATTTCTCAACAATGCCGAAGAGTTCTTGATTTTTTTTTTTCACCCGTTGACTTGTTACACTTTTGTGAAATAGTTTTTAAAAATGTTATTTATTTTTTATACTTTTTTGTTAACCGGTTAAAGGCTTTGAAACAACTGATAACAAATCTCGGGCTGAATTGAATATTTATAGTCGGAATTGTTATCCTGTTTACTGGAATAGATGGAAAAAACTAGATCAATGGGTGAGTGATATCCCACGGTGCCGATTGACACTTGCTAATTTGTTATGTTTCGTCAGTGTAAATTCCATTTGTCACTCGAATTAATTTATTAGAATAAATCAATTGTTTTTAAGTGATTGTTAGCATATGTGATGTGATATGGCTTAAATGCGATTTTAAAATTGTTAGAGGGTCATTCGAGGATTCAGGAAAGGTCGATAATTTGGGAAACACTTTAAGGGTAACAATAATTATAATACAGGTTGAGATAAAAAAAAACTGCAACAAAGTCAAACGCCATAACTTTAACAATTTTTCTTTTTAATTTTATTGAATGAAAGCAAACAAGTTAAAAGTCGGCCGGACCGAACCTTGAATACCCTCCACCATTTGGAAAGAATTTGGAAATTTTCAAAAAATAAAATCCTTAAAACATTCTGTTAAAATTTTTAAAATACCAAATATAGCCGTTATATTGGGGTTTATACGACGCGGGCCTACATAGGCATTGTTTGTCATAAGCCAATACCCTATTCAAATTCGAAACCTGAAATAAGTGGTGAATAATGAAGCTAAAATCATCAAAATATCGTATATAGGGAGGTACCGTTATATCGGAGCTTTGCGAAGACCTGGACCTGCATAGACAATTATCTGTCACAGGCTGTAGCATCCATTAAGAACTTCAAATACCACATTTAAAACAATTTCGGTGGGTATTGTACTTAAAATCGTCAAAATACTGAATATAGGGATGTACTGATATATGGAGCCTATACGAAGACCTGTACATGCATAGACAATTTTCTGTCAGAGACTGTAGTTCCTATAACCAACTCTGAATACGTAATTTGAAACAATTCTGGTGAATAATGGCGCTAAAATCATGAAAATACCGAATATTGGGAGGTTCCGTTATATGGGGGCTATACGAAGACGTGGACCTGCACAAACAATTTTCTGTCTTAGAGTGTAGTATCCATTTCGATTTTCAAATACCAAATTTGAAACAATTCCAGCGAATAATGTCGCTAAAATCATCAAAATACCGAATATCGGGAGGTTCCGTTATGTAGGGGCTATATGAAAACGTGGACCTACTTGGTCCAATCACGAACTTAACCTGCCTATTGGAAAAATAAACATGTGTGCAAAATTTTATCAGTCTATCTCAATTCATTCGAAAGATAGCGTGATTACAACAGACAGACGGACAGGCAGACAGACAGATGGACATCGCTAAATCGACTTAGAATTTTACGCTGATCAAGAATATATATACTTTGTTGGGTCTGACATGAGTATTTCGAGGAGTTACAAACAGAATGACAATGTTAATATACCCTCCATATTATGGTGGAGGGTAAAAAAATGTCGGAAATGGCATAAAATTTTAGAATAAGTTTAGATTTGTTCGAATTGGTCAAATTTGGCACGAATTATGGCCTTCAAACGGCCAATGAAACCGTCACACGCTGCCCGAATGTTGCTCTGCGGTGTTTTGGCCCATTCTCGGCGACGCGCTTGCTTGAGGTGATCGACACTTTGGTATTTTAAAGTGCCAACCTTACTTTCCGAAATACTCCAGTCACAATAGTCCAACGAATTGGTATCCGCAGATTTTGATGGCCAAGATACAGATGTCAATCGGCTAGAAATGAAACGAGGAACCTCATTTTGTAACCATTCTTGGGTGGCACGTGCTGAGTGCGATGGTGCTGAGTCCTGTTGCAATGTCCAAGGGTTGCGTGCCCAAGGTTTTTATACACCCTCCAGAATATTTATATAATATAATATTATAATAATATTCGGCATTTATTGTGATGCCACAGTCGATAATTACGGGCGGGGTGAGACCATCGGCTATTATGTCGGCTCACACCATCACCATGGCCGGCGCTTGAGTTCTGGTGGCCAACTGAAGGTGCACATTTTCAGCTGACCTCTTTGGCAAGTAAACACGATCATTTTGTTTGTTTTCAAACTGCCGGAAACGAATGTTTTCTCATCGGAGAAAACCAAATTTTCAAAATTTTGCACAAATCATTTGTTTGGCCCAAGGATAAACCTTATTGAAATTGGAGATAATCGGTAAAAATTTAGATATAGCTCCCAAATATATTTTTGTCCGATTTGCCTTTTATTGTGCACCAAACGTGTAATATCAGCCCGAATAGCATGGAATTTTGCACATACAACCAAATTAGGCCTGAACATAAGTATGCCAAATTTGATCGAAATCGGTTCAGATATAGCTATAGCTCCAATATATATTGTTCATCCGATTTGTTAATTTAGTCCTCCGCAGTCGTAATATGCACTCTGTAACAACAATATTTGGGGAAATACATTAAATACAGCTCAGAAATACCTTTGCTAAATTTTATCAAGATCGGTTCGGATTTGGATATATCTCCCATATATAACTTCGTCGGATTTACCTTTTATTGTGCACCAAACGTCTCATATTCGCCCAAATGGGATGAAATTTGGCACTTACGACCGAATTGAGTCTAGAAGCTACTATGTACAAAATACTTTGTACATACTTTTGAGTGCGGTTGAGGCGCTGGGAAAATCTAGCAATAAACAATAAATATTCTAAAATTAAATATTTCCCAGCCGCCATAAAATATCACATGTGAAGTATTGAGTGATCTTGTGCGCTGACGCATACGATAATGTGTGAGATAATAAAGGTTATGACCCACACGCACAGATATCGATGCGCTCAGTAGATGCACAAGACCACTTGAATGAGATGTCAAGCAGCCATGCAATGTTCTCCATTCAATATTAGAATAGATAAGAACAATTGTGTGGCTGCGACTAGGTTAAGTTAGATTAGTTTCAGTAGTACGTAAGGAATAAATTTAGAAATAAAATCAGAATTGAATCTACAGCCAAACCGTTCGGTTGGTTTTCTTTTCTCATTCATACTATGTCAAATTTGGCGAAGATCGGTTCAGATATAGCTATAGCCCCCATATATATTGTTCATCCGATTTGTTATATTTGTTACCCATAGCCGTAATATGCACTCCGTAACAACAATATTCAGGGAAATATATGAAATACAGCTCAGAAATATCTTTGCCAAATTTCATCAGGATCGGTTCTGATTTGGATATATTTTTATCCGATTTCAAATTAATTGTGCACCAAATGGGCAATAAAAGTCCGAATTTAAAAGATACAAATTCTTCGGCATATTTAGTCCTTTGAACTTTAAATTATAATTATAATCATAGCGTGTATGATTGAATTCTCCCATAAAAACTTTTAATTGTTATGTGGAGCTCTACTAAATTAGCAAAGTGGTGTAGGGTATCATAAAGTCGGCCCCGCCCGACTTTAAGACTTTCTTTACCGGTTTTTTTCTATTGCGGTGTAAGTTTTTGCACTTTTTGGAATTTCAATGGCTATACCCCGAGCTCATTTTCCAATATTTGCCTAATGGAATATTGCGATATGTTCAGCTCACGAGCCAATTTTCGGCCACTGCGACGCTGGCTTGGATCAAGTCGCTTCTTTACTTTTCAAACCATTTTCTGCTGATGTTGCTGTTTTCTTCTGTCCACTTCCTTGACGTCGGGCTACGCTACCAGTATCACGGTAACGAGCGATGGTTGGTGGTTTTCCAGCCATAAAAAAAGAAATCACACCATCACACTTGAGTTCCATAACGAATAACTGTTTTTCTGGAAAATTCTCACCAAAATGCTTTTGTACGCTTATAAACAATCTAATGGGCTCTCACTGGAATAATTTTAACAGCTGTCAGACGAGAGGCTTATAAATGATAGCATTCTAAAGTTGATTGCAGTTTTTTCATCTCACCCTGTATACTTGTCGTTTTGATGATAGTAGACACATTTTCCAAAAAAAAATTGGTTTAAGTTTGGCTATTGAAGTTCTAGGACGATAAAAAAAAAACTCTCGGGAACAAAGAGATGTATATAGCTCTCATTTTTTCTATAGCCCTCAAATAGCAGTACCTGAAACTGAAGCTTTGAACAGCCACCTTTTAAACTAAGCTCAGTATGGATCGAAAAGACAACAGGACAGAAAAACGGTATTCTCTTGAGAAGTCAGGTTCCTCACAGAAGTGACTGTGCGAGGAATCTTTTGTGCCAAAGAGGATCTACCACGCAAAAATTGGAAACTCTATAAAAGAGGAAGATCCCAAAATAGCAAATATCAAATTGTTCATATGATTTAAACTATATACGCTGTAGGTTGATAAAATAGAAGGTATTTCTAAGAGGTTACAAAGAACAAGCCTGACTGACACGAGACGAAAATCGTATTCAAAGACTTTAATCTAACAACCATATCATTGGATGTGGGAAAGTGAGCAAGCTTGGAGCCCACTTATTGTGTGCAAGGATGCGTTACAACAGTATTTTTGAAAGTTAGTCCCTGAAGGACAGCACGTTTGCAAATTCGTACTTTAAAATGTTTCGATCTGTACTAAAAAGTAGAGAACCACATAACTTTGTAATTGTGCATCAGAAAAACCTACATTTTTGCAATGATGAGGCAGAGAGTTCAGGAAAAGCTTAAAATTTTGACAATTCTTAAGTTAAACCCCTTAAGAAAAGATCAAAAGTCAGGCATGGCTGACTATATGATTCCCTACACCACTATGTATATTTAGTAGAACTCCCATAAGAAAAAAGTTTATATTAACCTTATTTGAATGCGTATCATGGCTTTACAATAGCCACAATTGTGAAGCTATATCTAACTTTGAATCGATTTTCAACAGATTTGACGGAGGCTTTTGTACCTCTAGTAACAAATAACATTGCTGCATACTATATGATATGACTTCTATAAGAATTATATTAAACCAGTAAAGAAAGTCTTAAAGTCGGGCGGGGTCCACTTAATGATACCCTACACCACTTT